CGGTGCGGCTATCGCACTGCGCTACTGCCAACACAAGTGGCGATTATTTGAACCGTTCCTGGGCCCTTCCTTAGGTTGGTTCAGCCCTAAATAGGTCCCTCGTGCTGGGTGTGGTGCTGACTGCATCACCCCGTCTTGTGCATTATTTTTTGGCCTTCATAAGTGCACGCTAAGAGCACTCTCCCCAGGAGTGAAGGTAAAGGCTTTAGGGGCCGTCCATAAATGACGTCACGCGATTATGGACGATTTTTGACCCCCCCCCCCCTCGTCACACGGCGTCACAAAAAGTCAGACCCCCCCCCTCAAATATGACGTCACAAAGCTCTGCCTGCCCCCCCCACAAATATAAAACGTGCTTCAAATCGCTTTAAACTATTGTCATTGTAGTGCGTATTTAATGTGGCGCTGCACTCTGATGTTGGTGGAGACAACATTTATTAAAAAGTATATTTGATTAAGTAGAACGTGTTGTCTATATTTATTTAAAGTTGCGCATTTTGATGTGACGTCACATTTCTCACCCCCCCCCCCCGTCACACATCGTCACAAATGTCTGACCCCCCCCCCCCCAGGTGCGTGACGTCATTTATGGACGAGCCCTTAGGAGGATATATGTATTGGTGCTCAGTGTCTTGGTTCGTACACCGAAATATTATCTCAACGTCTCAGGTTCAGTTCCTAGCTATGCACAACGCCAATTTAAATTCACGTGTGAACCAGACCTGAGCCAACTTAAATCTCCGTAGACTAAAGTACTTGGAACAGTGTGTCAAGTTGAGGATTGCGGAGACAACATGGCTGGGTTTGGTGCTGACCACGCCACTACATAGGCCTAAATAGGTGTTGGCAAATTGCCCTCTTCTATGAAGCTAAATGGGCATCATTGTCTATGTGTGTGAGCGTGATATCATTCTGGTGCACTGGCAGACAATTTAACCTCAAGCCTGGCGGGCTTTAATTTTCTTCTTGGCAAGTCAACCGAGCCATGCTTTAAAGTGGCAACCCTTTTTAAATTACATCTATACCTTCATCTGCCTTTCGTTACACATGCGGCTGAGGTGGTTTCCAATATAATCCCATAAAGCTCACCAGCGAAGAAAAACCCAACTGCTCCATATGCATTTTAACACAAAGTTTTGTGGATGTTACACTGAACCTAATCATGAACTTTTACTCCTCCCAAACCTCTTGTACACTTGCAACAAACATTGTGCCACAATGCTCCACATCAGAGTAAATAAAACAAGCTTTTGAGTTTTGTCTTGCAAGTATCGTTTACAAAAAAACCAGACAAAACAGAAATGTAGAGAGAGATAGTTTCATGAGGCAGACACAGCAAACTCCCCTGCGCTCCCCATGAGGTTAATGGACAGCCGTCCGCAACATCCCTGGCGAGAGCGGTGACGCATCTCTTGCGCAAATTGCGGACGGATCACAGGAAGCGAGTGCATGGGATCTAATTAGAGGCCGCTGATTCGAGCCAAAATTATGAATACATTTTAACCCTTTGTGGTAGGCCAGGGGGCCCTTTGAAAGGCCCCCCACCCCTCGCGCGAGCCCCAAAAACCGAGGCCCGTACGACCACCCCGCATTTATGTTGATTGCGTCCATGAATGAAATATGCTGCCCTTGTACGCGGCACGCACTTACAACCGCACAAGTACACGCCTGAACAGTCAGAAATCCTGCGAGGCAGTCAGTCAAATAATGCACGGTTTCTCCGGTGTTGTTCTGTGCCCATCCCCGGCGGACGTTTTCTGCATGATTTGGCCTCAAATCACAGCTCTGCTGCCGAGGGGTTAAGGGGGAGCAGCAGTATGCAACTGTGAAGGCTGAACATAGCAACCGGTAACTGCCGTCTATTAGCCGCAGTTTTACTCTTGAAATGTAGGAGATGCGCGCTCCAAACGATGTTTGCTGTCAACTACTCCCCTCTAATGACAAGCCCGATTTAATAAATATGCAATAAATATACTACGAACTGCCGTCCATTAGCCGCAGTTTTGCTCTTGAAATGTAGGAGATGCGCGCGCTAAATAATGTTTGCTGTCAGCCACTCCCTTCGAATGGAAGCCCGGTTTAATAAACACACGATAAATATACTATATACTATACATAAACAATGAGACAGTATTTATGTACACAGCATTATTTTAAATGAGCATTATTGTACGTTTTGGTTTTTTAGTTATGGAAGTGGGAATTGTATGTACATTTAGATGATCAACAGTTTTGTGATGACGTATAATTCATGTATTCTTCCTGACAATGGCGGCACAACATTTTTTAGAGGCTTGTAAATGTTATACTTATCGTACACATTTTTTATCCTCGGTAATGATCACAATATATTGTTGTTGTTTGCCAATCCACCATGCTAGTCAGTACTGGTTGTTGTAGGGGAAGGTGGGGGGGTGGATAGAACCAGTGTCCAATGTCACTCGCCACCGACGACAGCCAACACCGAGAATCAATTACTCTTTGGTTCTTTCGGTAAAGTCACGTATAAAGAGAAAATCATAAATTAAATTAAACACTAGCATACGACGTTTCGATTGCAACACAAGCAATCATCATCAGCATTCTCAGGAAGAACGTAATCAACCAGCTAGGGTGTTGACTGTTATGTTATCCGACTCTCTGTTGTATTACATTACATTTCTAAGTATACTAGATTTGTGTTTCTATTTCATTTATACCTGATGATGATTGCTTGTGTTGCAATCGAAACGTCGTATGCTAGTATTTAATTAAATTTATTATTTTCTCTTTATACGTGACTTTTACCGAAATAACCAAAGAGTAATTCCTACAATCACGAAAGCTCCAAATTAACCGAGAATCAAACCCAGGTCGTTGGGTTTATCGTGAAGTGCGCTTAGCACTTTGGCACTGCTCCCATCCATTTTTACATCAAACGTCTGAACGTCACACGGAGTGCTGCATTGCCAGGTGCCCTCTCATAATGCCCTTCATCCTCATCTTAACACCGATTAAATTCATTATCTCTGCATTGCCTTATATAAATTATCCGTGAATTCTCTGCAGGGAAAAAAAAAACGGGCACCAGCAGTTAGTACTTTGAGCAATTCAACTATTCCAATGAGACTGCTCCTCTACAAAGGCAATGTAGTCCTTTACAACACACAGTGACCATCTCGTGTATGCTAATATGTGCAGGGAAATCAGAATGTGAGGAGAGCATGGCTAAATTACGCTGTGGATTGTGCATGAAAGGTAAAGGTGCAGCCCTGAAATATCTTGTTCACGCCACTGCCAGCGGAAGGATCTCCCTTAGAAGGGAGGTCAAGAGACAGCTCGAGAGAAAGCGCTCTCCGAGAGCGTATTTGGCCAATTGTTCCATAATTTGCCAGATGTCTTCGAGGAGGTGTAGGTATCCTACACTTAACCACCACCACACATGACATGCCAATCAACTAATTGCGGTGTCGCCATTCATTCTGCTGGAGATTTTGTATATGACAGTAACATGTTCTACATGTTATCACGATGATGTATAGGAACTGGGAGCAGGAAAACGCAAATATTGTTTGTGGGTACGTCGTGATGATCTCGATTATTTCAACAATTCAGCCCCCACCCCACCCACTCACTTCCCCCCCCCCCCCCCACCACCAATTCCAAATCCTCCAGGGGTCAGGCTATTTGGCTTGCGTCACAGCCGGGTGGTGTGACCTCACGCCGCCTCTGACCACCACATGCCGAGCGCTGCTCTCTCCATCCACTTCGCGTACGCCCTTCCTGCGGTGCTGCCGCACATTGCCAGGAGCCCTCTCGTAATGCCCTTCCTCCTCACTTCAACACTGATGACATTAATTATCTCTGCATTGCCTTACATTAACCCCCCAAATTATTTGCAGGGAAACAAAAAATGTAGGCAGCATTCCAATTTTTTTTGTTGTAATTTCAAGATTTTCTCTCTCTCACCTAAATCCTAATTTAATTATTCTCTTCCTCTTTGTTCCACCGTCTCTGTTCGTCGTGTCTTTGTTCGGCTGCGATAGCAATTTGAGAAGGTGGAAGCTTGTTGGATGGGGAAACGAAAAAAAAATCTTCTCATCAGGCAAAGTAACAGCTCCATAATCTATTGTTCCCGCCATCCATCACGCCATTCAAGCTCCCCTTTGTGCTGCAAATGGATCAAATGCCTTTCAGTCATCTTGACTAGTTCCTTTCACCCGTAGCCGTGTAAGACTCCTTCTTGAAAAAGTGTGTTGGTGTAACATAAAGAAGAGGGTCAGCATGCACGTGTCCAACACTGTTTTGGAACTGATAAGGTGCACAGCGGTACGACTGACATTTACAAAATTGGGTGTGATGTCTTGAATGAATTATACTCAGTGTCAATCCCATTCAAAGCAACCGTTATAAGCTTGCCAAAGTATCACTTAACACCTGCTGCACCGTGAATCAGATCCCAGAGGGAATTACTCTGCCTACCTCAATAAGAATGCCACGATGGTCATTTAATTGTAATTCGACTTGACAGCTCTTATTAAGGTTAAATCCAGCAACATATTGCGTAATTTTTTTTTCATGGTCAAAACACAAACTGCCATTAACACGTTGCACGACGTACCATCTGCATTATTTACCACGTGGTAATAATGTACTGCGCCTGCAGTTATTCGCGTGAAATTGTGAGGTCACCGTTCTCAGTTGAGCGGCCATTTCTGTCACCACTTTTGGCGAGCGATGTTCAGCTTTTGAGGCCTCCATGACCGTGGGATGTGTAACAAAATTAAATCGGCACATTAATCTGAACCGGCTCCTTTACAAGTCTACATACTTATTGCCTTGCCTCTGCTTTATTATCCCTCACTGGCTCATTAATAACGGCAAAGCGGTCGATGGTACAGCAGCCCTGGGTCATGAGCCGACGATCCGTAACCCTTTCTATTTTCGCCGCTCACGCGTGAGATGCGGTGGGCGCGGGGGTGCGTGCGCGCTCGTGGCATTGTAATAACGCTTTTAAATACCTGTCTGTTGTAGCGCTGACCCCCGCCTTTGTTGTTGCCACCTCCGCCACCGCCGCAGCCGCCACCGCCGCCACCGCCACCGCCGCTGCTGTTGTTCCCACCGCTCTGCGAGCTGCACTCCGTCTCCGAGTGGCTGTAGTGCTCCGAGCTGATGGACGAGCGTTTGGACGACATGCAGTCGTTTCCCCCGTTGCCTCCGCCGGCGCAGGCCCCGTTCCCAGCGCCGCCGACGCCCCCGACGCCGCTTCCGCCGCTGCCCACGAACGTGTTGGCCACTGGGAGCTCCTGGATGACGCCGTACTTTTTCCCCGCGGTGGGAGTCTGCTGCGTGGCTTGGGGGAGGCTTACGGGCGTGACGGGCGAGGTCGAGCGGTAGTGCCGCGCCAGGTCGGGGCTCTCGGACCCACCGCCGCCTCCGCCGTTGCTCCCTCCTCCTCCCCCTCCTCCTCCTCCACTGCCGCCGCCACCAACGGTGCCGCTGCTCGAGCCGGGCTTGAAGGTCGTGGCCACCCCGTCGCCACCGCCTCCTCCGCCACCGAGCCCGTAGATGGGGCTGGGGGCATCGGACTCGTGCCCCCAACTCATGGCCTCGTTAATCGTCTGATACGTTGGGTCTTCAGAATTTTTGCTCGCTTCGATCGCTATGCTGAACGGAGCGCCGTTCGCGTGCTTCTTTTTTTTCCTGTTGTCCGACTTCTTGTTATTTTTGCCGCCGTTGCTGTGCTTTTTCTCCTGCGTTGGGGAGAGCCACTCTTGCCCACCGTGCTTGGCCCTCACGATGCCCCCACCCCCGCCCTTGCGCCGGTTGCAATAGCAGCGGTGCACCAGGACACCCAGTAACACTATGAGGGCAACTCCCAGGACCCCGGCCAACACAGCTGCCAAAAGCAGCACCTTATTGTCCTCTTGCTCCCGCCTGCCAAAGCCAGCGACGTCCGTGTCCAGAGGTGTTTGCAGGCTGCCGGCAATCAGCCACTCTATGTACGTGGCATTCTCCAGCGTCTCGTTGACAAACACGTGCACCAAGGCCACGGCGTGATGCTGCACCGCGATCCCGATGTCACTCACGCGCACCACCAGCCGGTGCAGGCCGTGGTGCGTCTCCGTCAGGGGCTCCATCAGCGTGATGTTTCCTATCACGGGGTCGATGTGGAACAAATTGTGCGGGTTCCCGCCGACGATGTGGTACCGCAGCTCCGCGTTGATCTCGGCGTCGTTGTCGACGGCAGAAACCTCGGTCACGATCGTGCCGGGCAGCGTGCGCGGCACGACGAACTTGTAGGTGGTGTTGGAAGGCGGCATGAGCACGATGGGCGAGTTGTCGTTGATGTCCATGACGTGTATGACCACCTTGACCGTGGAGGATCTCACGGGCTCCCCTCCGTCTGTCGCCTGCACCTCCAGCACGTAGTAGTGCCTCTGCTCCCTGTCGAAGCCCACGTTTGAGCGGATCATGCCGGATTCCGGGTCGATGCTGAAGAGCTGCCGATTGTCCGTGCCGAGGATGGAGAGGCGGACGCGTCCGTTCTCCCCTTCGTCCGAGTCGGCCACCGTCACCATGCCCACGGTGCTGTGCTTGGGCACATTCTCGTTCACGTAGAAGTCAAACTCGGCCAGGCTGAATCGAGGCCTGTTGTCGTTCACGTCGAGGACATTCACGATGACGGTCGCATTGCCCTCCAACACTGGTATACCCTGGTCCTTAGCCAGGATGGTGAAAGAGTAATTCGACTTTTTTTCCCTGTCCAGCTGCTCGGTCAAAGAAATGATGCCCGTTTCTGGGTCCATGTGAAACATCGTGGGTGCATCTGGTCCCAAAAAGTAAACCATCTCTGCATTTTTGTCCATGTCTCTGTCAGTGGCGCTGACAGTGATCAGGTGTTTTCCAATCACGTTGTTTTCAGGGACGGATACCTTGTATGTTGGCTCTGTAAACACCGGGGCATTATCATTGCTGTCAAGCAATTTTATTGTGACCGACATTGTCCGAGAGAGGCTTGTCGCTCCTGCGTCGGCTGCCTTTATCTGCACCACGTACTCGTTCTTTGTCTCGTAATCCAGAGTCTCCCGTGTCTCCAGAAGGTACTGGTTTGGGTAGGTTAACTTTTTGAGCTGAAATGGAACTTCCGGATTGTAGATGTAGCACGTCACTGCACCATTGGCACCAATGTCTGGGTCTGAAACCGTGATAAGCGCCACAGGGAGATTGACGTGCGACGCCTCTGAGATGTAGATCACACCGTTGACGGGTGCGACGATGTCCCTTATCTCGATGGTGGGCGAGTTGTCGTTCACATCGGTCACGGTCACCGTCACGGTGGCTGTCGCTGGCACGGGCTCGGGCCCTTTGTCGGTGGCCAGAATGATGATGCGGTAAACGGGGCTCTCTTCGCGATTGAGGAGCCCGTTGACCGTCACCAGTCCGCTGTTCTGGTCGAGGCGGAAGAGGCGCTTTCCGCCCTGGCCCGACCCGGCTCCGCTTGTGCTCGTGCCGAGGCGGTACACCACCTCGGCGTTCGAGCCCGCGTCGCGGTCGGAGGCGTGCAGCTGCACCACGTGGGTCCCCACCGGCGAGTTCTCGGGGATCTCCACGTTCACCTCCGCCTGGTCGAACACGGGGCTGTTGTCGTTGGTGTCGGTGACGTTGATGCGCAGCACGGCGGAGCCCGAGTGGGGCGGCGAGCCCCCGTCCACGGCGCGCAGATTCATCTCGTACAGCTGCCGCTCCTCGCGGTCCAGGCTCTTGCGCACCACCAGGTAAGGCACTTTCTCGCCATCGGCCGTCTCGGTGACGCTCAGCTCGAAGGTGCTGACCGTCGCCGGGTCGCTGGGCAGCAGCTCGTAGCGGCGCACGCCGTTGGCCTCGCTGTCGGGGTCGTTGGCCGGCTGTATCGGGAAACGCTTCCCCGCCGGCGCGTTCTCCGGCACGGACACCGTGAGCACGGGCGCCGCGAAGGCCGGCGCGTTGTCGTTGATGTCCTCCACGTTGATGCGCACCTCGATGAGCTTGAAGAAGGGCCCGGGCAGCACGGGCAAGACGCCCACCTGCACGTCCACGTGGCACTCGTCGCCGGGGTCCTGACCCCCGCACAGGGCCTCCCTGTCCATCTTGCGCCCCGCGGCGAAGAGCTCCCCCGTGCGCGGGTTCACCCGCACCAGCGGGGGCGCCGCGTCCTCGGCTTTGGACAACATCACCTTGTAGGTCAGCTCGAGGTTGTAGTCCGCCAGGCGGAGGTCGACGCTCGGGTTGCCTATGAAGGCGCCCTCACGTAGCTCCTCGGCGACTCGGTAGCTCACTTTGAACTCCTCGGCGCTCGACAGCCTGGACAGAAGCAGCAGCAGTAGCAGCGGCACCAGCAGCGGCGGCGGCAGCCAGCCGGGGCGCGCCGCCCACGCCCCGCACCCGCTGGCCATGACCGGCTGCTGGTCGCCGCTTTCAGTTCCGGCCCAGCGGGGGAGGATCGTCGACTTTCCGAACCTCAGCTGGAGCATCCACGGCACTTCAGGGTGTGTGTGCGTGGGCGGGGGGGGGCCCTTCCCAGACCCCCCAACCGGGCGAAGAGTAGCGCTCCTCCTTGCCTTGGCTGTCTGCTCACGCGCGCTGCACACTGAGCGAGAGACGGTGTGGACATTCATCCAGTGCGCTCAGGCTCATCTGAGCGCGCGCACACAACACACGGACGCCGCGCCTCCGGGAACACGGGGCGAGTCAAAAAGCACCGTTCGCCCTGCGTCACTATAAATCCGCCAAACTCTCGCCGTCAATTATTGCAGATGGCACGTGGCCGTTTTTTTGTGGACTAACGCAAGCAAAGCCATATGCACGCGCACTGTATGCGTTATATTTTAATTGCCATGCGCCGTGCGTCGTACGGACGTCGCGTGCGTTAGAGGCAGCGGCACGGAGATCATCATCATCGCGGGTGCTGCGTCTACGCTGGGTGGAAATAAATGTCTGCGATTTTACCAATTATGCTCGTGCCCGCTGCGCTACACGTGCCTTTCGAATGAGACGTAAATGATAAGTAAGGAATCGCCAGACGAGAAAATCAAGATCAGGCTAAGGTGTGTGCGTGTGGGTTTTTTTTTGTTTTCTCTTATTTTAAGGTAGGAAGGAAATGTATCGCTGAGTTGAGAGGCGCAATTTAACAGAGCTATCGACCCGAGCGATGCTCATGACGTTAGTGATGATGATGATGATTGTGATGATAATTGTAACGCGAACCGTGCGCTCCATCCAACACGGCGAGAGACAATCTCAGGAATGTAAAGGTAGCGATTAAAAACACTCACGCGCGCCGACTAAAAGAGAGGAGAACCCCCATCAGCGAAGCGGCAACGAACGCCCCCCGTTCCCCCCATCGTGTAAGTATACACCATCAATAACGCCCCCCGTAATTTCGCTTAGCCGCACAGAATTTATCATCGACGCCGCTCTCCTCCGCGCTCGCGAATCGCGAACTTGCCGTTTATTTTTAATATAAATTCGCCGGCTCACGCAACACGCATTCGTTCGTAAGTCCCTTTACGCGATGTTTTTCCCCCACCCCCCACCTCAACTTTTTTCGTGATGTTATTCGACAGGGTCGTTTCTTCGCGACGACGAACATCAGCGCATTTCTCGTCGTGGAGCCAGACGTTAATGGGGATGGCTTGTGAATGAAGGAGCGGCGAGTTGAGGGAGCGGCGAAAACACCGCGCAAGCGATGTGCGCCCAGACGCGTGGGGAGGAATCTGTATCCCGACCGCGGGGTGCGGTGCGAGATGACGATGATGGTGATGATGATGGTGATGATGATGGTGACGATGTTTATTATAGTGATGCTAACAAAGTGTTAAACGGAAACGGTAGCCGATACAGTATTTCACCGATGGCATGTGTTGCACACATGTGTAACAGATGTGTGTAACACATGCGACGGCGCCGTGAACTGTGGTAACAGACGATGACGACGATGATAATGAAGATAACGCACGAGTGTTCACGCGGTTCGCAAGCACACGCGCGCCTTTGCGCATGAACGCGGGATCGTCTCACCTGGTAGCAGCAGCGCCGGCGTGTGCTCCCCTCCGGTTCGCGCAAATGTCCTCACTTGTGGTGATGGGCGCCACGAGTGGACGAAACGATCGCTCCGAACGCGCGGCACATTATCTCTCCAGGGCGCGCGCGGGACGCGCTGCCTCTCCTGCCTCCCTCCGTCCTCCTCTTGCCGTATGGGTTCTCTCCCTATCCCCGGGCCTGTGCGCCGAGCAGGCGCCGGGGCTGTGTGGCTTCTCCCCCCCCCCTTCCTCTCTCTCTCACGCTTTTTCTGTATCCCAAACGCCGGGGCCACTGCTTAATTAAGCCCGAACGCACTTCTCCGCACACTGAGTCGGGCTCGTGTGCGCGGGGGGTGGCGCTGGGCGTGCGGTGCGGAGGAGGAGGAGAGGGAGGAGGGAGGCGAAAGGGGGTGGATGCTCGGGTGTGGTGGGGGGGTGTGCGGAGTTGGAAGGATGAGAGGGCGGCGGTTCGCAGGAGGGGAGGGGGGGGTGTGACGGGAGCTGCGTGCAGCGCGCGGGCTCGCGGGGGTGGGGTTTGCGTGCCGGGGCGAGGCATCTCGCCGGTGACTTCAGCACGTAGTGGAGCAATTGGAGGAAAGCGGCGACTACGTAATGCATTCGGCTGTCGGCCGGCATCAGTGCGCATTAACGGAGCCCGCGACGCTACTGGCCGATGGGCCCTTGGCTTGGCTCGAAGGAGCGCGTCAGGATGAGGCGCGGTGCGATTGATAAATCTGGGAGGAGGAGGAGGAAGAGGCGGCGACGGGACGGGTCCTGGTGCCACTTGGAAAGACGAGAGTCCGGGGAGTCGAAATTCCCCGCTGGGAAAAGCAAATAGCGCCGTGTTTGCTTTGCCATCGGCTCAACGCGGCTGGAGAGGAATTGATCGGCGCTTTTAAAAAACCAGAGGCCAGCTTTCAAAACATTAACTACGGCTAGAATGTGGATTTGATAATTCTCCAGACGCGTTTTCTTTGAGCTGCTTTTTAAAAAAAAAATCCCAGACTGTGTGGCATTCTCTTGCGCGTATAGTCTGAAGAGAGGCGTGCTCAGTAATTTATAAGAAGAAATTGGCGTGCTGGCAAAAGCTGCATGTATGTGTTTTGTTTGGTAAAATTCCAATTCCCGCCGGAGTAGTAAGTACACATTCTAAATCTTCTCCTGGAGACCGAGTTCATTTTCATTGCGAAAATGTCCCCTGGCTTCCACCTCTAGGTCTAACCTTATTTTGTTATTTCTGTATTTATTGAATTATTTATCGAACATTTCCCCACGCGAGAAGTTTTGATCATCCTACTTCCAAACTTTTGAAATGCTTCGCCAGCCTTGCACGAGACAACTTCATAAATATTAAATGCATTGATTTGGTGTCCGCTGTCGAGTCCAAACCATTAATGTTCAATAACGGGAAATACTATTAATCACGTTTAAAAAAAAACATACACACACAACATAGTTCCGTATCGATGGATGCGTGCTTACTTCGATACATATTCAACTTGAGTTTTGATTGTTTGCGGATACAGGTCTCATTCGTATTAAGATTACCCTGGGTGTAAATGTAGCTTGCAACGGGGTGAAATGGCACATCTGGACTCTGGCTCGCTATCGAAATGAAACGCCGATGCAGTCCGCTCGATCCGACAGTCGGCGTTACGATTTCCCACGCACGCACGCGCGCGCGTGACACGTGGAGGATGCGACTTGGAAGAGATTGGGATTGGCAACGTCGGGAAATATATATACTGTAACTCCTCGGTGTCAGTAAAGCGCAGCCAAAGCTTTCTATATGTACGCTTTAGTGCGATTATTTAATCTCGCCAATGCGTGTGCGTGTGTATAATCTGATCGATATAGCTCAAACTGCGCACTCCAATTGTTTAATATCGGTTGATACCTTCATAGCCAAAACATGTACCAGTAACAAACGCGTGGAATGTAATTCCTTTAATTCATACTCACGTTATTCATATAGTAGTTGTTAATAACTATAGAAACATAATCGCCGTATTAAGACACCTGACATCAACGTTAACATAGCAGAGTGCCGAGTGTTAAAGCCCGGCGATAGTAACACCGCATCTAATTATCGGTTAATGACAAATATGAGCACCGATCTGCATTGCTGTTAGCGCGTAATCGGAATGCTTAATGTGGTGGTGGTGGTAGAGGCGGCGGGGAGCGGTGGTGTAACGGTCAGCGCACTGCGCTACGAACCTGGCCACCCGAGTTCGATTCCCGCTCACGGCCAACACCCAGTGACGATTATATGAACCTGTCCTGGGCATCCCCTAGGTCGACTCAGCCTCAAATGAGTACCTGGTGCGGTGTGTAAACATCGCCGGGCGTTGTTTGTTGGCCACCCACCCCCTCGTGTGTCGTGCCGGCCTTCAGGGGTGCTGCTCGCTAACAGCACTTGCCCCAACAGTCTGTTAGGGTTATACGGGGGGTCTTTGTCTTGGCAGTGGTGGGGGTCGCGGTTATGAACACCGTCCCGCGATGATTATGAACGCAATCCGTTTTTCCACTGAGTTGGGTGCTATGCATTTGTTAGACTTCTTTCGCACCGTACGTAGCCAACTGTGCTATACGCGGGGCAGGGGTGGAGAAAACACGCTCGACACTAAAAGAGCGCTCGTTATTAAGTGAAAGCTTTGCGCTTTTGCGTGCAAGGTTAAAAGCGCACGGCTTACGGATTATATCAATAGCGGTATAGTACTCATGCAAGTAATAACAATACTAATGTACAATGTCCTTTTTGTCAATTCATCTCTTGAATGACGACCTCCCCCCCCCCCTCCAATGCCGTGCCACTCAAGGGGAGTGTGTGTTTTTTTACATACTTCACCACGCTGGTCAAGTGGCAACTCGTCACCGATGTTAGCCGTGACCGGGTCCACGTTGCAATGACAACGACGGGTACATCTATACAGCGATAAACAACAACTTAGTCGAACACCGTATCCTGGTGTAAAGGTATCTAAGTTGTGTCGCCCTACATCAACATCAGCCGTCTCGCGGAAGCCCCATTGTCATTTGCCCACATATCTAACGCTGCTCTCTATAAAGAAGAAAACACCACCACCACCACAGCGACAAATAACGGGAATCAGAGAGCGGGTGGCCATTAATGGATAGAGAGACTGCCACAGCACGGAAGAATCCCGGCGCTTGGTGAGAACAGTTATGTGATGTGGCGAGGGGGGGGGGTCCCGGACAAACGCACGCAGCGAGCGAGAGAGCGAGGAGTTGGAGGCGTCCAAGGTTCGCTGGCAGGAGCCAGAGCGCCCCCTGCAGACGAGAAATTGAAATTAAGTCACCGTGGGTAAACGTGGAGATCCACCACCACCACCACCACCCCCACCTTCTCTCTCTCTCTCTCCCCTCCCCAGGTGTTGGTATATGCAACACGGTTGGGAGAATAAATAAAACCTCAATAAACAGAACAATGGGCGTCGATAGGAAGAGCAAACAGAGCAACAGGAACTCATACGGGAGGCTCAATGATGGGGTGGAGTGCGCAAATAGCGCTCCGTGTGGACGAGTGTGCGGACTTCCTCACGGGGTCACTTTGTCCACGAGCCGCTCCATCCTTCACCGTCCGGGTCAGGACGTGTTACGCGTGGCGGTTTCATTACCGTGATTATCCTACGCGTTGTCGTGAATGCATTTCTGGCCCATGGGCTTGTTTTGATGTGAATACGAAGCGACTGTTTTTGTGTGTGTTAGTGTTGCTTTTTGCGACAACGCTCTTGATAATATCCGCATCAACGTTTGCAGCATCTGCGGTTCGTTTTCGTTGTTGTTTTGCAATAAGTTGTGTCCTCGTAGGTGCCGATGTTGGTTGTAGAGCAGCAACCACGATTTTACATTGAGGCGGTTGAGCCAGATGATTGCATCAGGAGTGCTGGAGTGGAGCGTATTGCTGTGATGATGATGTCTCCTTCATATTTGTGAATCGGGAATTGATTCGTTATACATTGATTCGTTATACGTTGAGTCGTTGTAATTGAGTAATTATAATTGAGCTGTTATACGTTCCATGACATTTTTTATTGCCCATTTGTGAATCAATTTGCACGTAAAGTATCTGCACAAGTTTGTACAGCGAATGCGCTTTAAGGCTGTGGCCATAAGCTTTGCAGAAGATTGAAGCGAGTCTATGACTTCTTGCGACGTGTGCTCACCACTGATTAGTAGGTGATGATTTTCTCTCTCTCTAAAATGCAAAAATAATTGGAATAGGTGGTTACCGTGTGATTATTATTATTATTTCTAAATTTATACACCGCTCTTTCATGTAGCCAATGTGCAATAACTGTAGAAAAGTCTAAAATAAATAGGGGTGCGTACAGGGTGGGCATGACTCCCAAGGCATAATCATCTTTTGTAGCAATCTGATGTTTCTAGTTTTTTACGTGTAGCTGTTTTGTCTTTTTATATCAAGCAGAATGCAATTTTTCGATTTAAAGCTTTCGTGACTGCAGGGATTTATCTTCTTGGTTCTTTCGGTAAAGTCACGTAGAAGGGAAGTAATAAAATAATAAAAATTAAACATAATAAAATAATTCTCACGACGTTTCGGCCACAACGCAAGCAGCCGTCCTCAGGTGAAAACCAGGTCTGTCGAGGCGACAGCGTCAGACGATTTAAAGCTTTCGTGACTGCAAGAAAGCGTCCTTATTATGCTGTCTTTCCGACAACTCTGTTCTTCACCTGAGGACGGCTGCTTTTGTTGTGGCCGAAACGTCGTGATAATTATTTTATTATGTTTATTTTTATTATTTTATTACTTCCCTTCTACGTGACTTTACCGAAAGAACCTAGAAGAATGCAATCTGTTGATTGGTTGCTTAAAACGAGTGGACACAGCTGCGTTTGATCATGAAAAATGAAGTAAAAACATTCCAAAGTACTTAATCTTATAAAATATGATGGGTTTTTTAATCCATCTATTTCGTATGCTCTCGAGGATGAATCGTAGACTCAAATGACATACAAACTGCACATACGTACACACAAACATGCTGCACAGCATGAACCTCATCCACTGAACTTAGCTTACAGAGATATGATAAATTGAACTTTCAGAGATCACACCGCGTTTTAAAAACAGAACGGTGATTTGCAGCAGATTTGGAAATAACAAGCGCGAGCTGCCTTGGACAACGCAGGAGCTCACCACACTAACGTGTCAACTAAACAAAACGCTGTTTACTATATTTATTTTTCTTCAAGAAGAAAATATGAAAATGCGAAATCAAAACGTCAAACAAATCATCCAGCATTGCAGCGTAACACTCCCTGCCATTAACACGATTGGTGTGACTGAACTGCTTTCTGGCATGATGTCTTCATTATCT